CACCCAAGCATGAGGGATGACCATGTTCAGCACACAGGAGGGGCCGGCACTGGGTACAGACGAATAACGCAATGTTCCGATGCCACCTCCCAAACAGCATTTCACGGCTCGTTCACGGCGACCCCCATTGAAGTAGACGTATTGTGAAGTAGACGTATTGCATATTTAGAGCCTTGCCCGAGAAAAAGTTCGCCTTCCCTTATCCTGGAACGCCGTTCCACATGTGACAAAACAAACTGGCTGCTCCGTTACCTCCCTTATACATCGCTGTCGTCCGCAAAATATCGTCATCACTCCACCAGCCCCTCCATTGTTGTCATTACCGCCGAAGACTGTCCAGGCGGGCCTGAAGGTCGTCGTCGCCGGGATCCGCACCTCCACCTCCACCACCTCCAACTGCTTGGGCAATTCTGCCTTCGGGGACGGCCGCAGTTTGCATCCCGGACGGCGTTTCGCCCAGCTGCACAGTCTATCGTTAGCTGTTGAACCGCCAATGTCTGGATGGGGGTACTTACCGCTGATGTCAAGTCAACTCCAATCTCTTCCAGGACTTGCTCGACAACTTCCTCGCCTTCCTCCTCGGCACCAACATCCATAGCATCATCCATAACGTCGTCCATCATCTCTTGTCTCTGGTCCATAATGTCGTTCTCGCGCTCAAACTCCATTGCGATGCGCTGAAGAGCGGGGAGGTTCATCGATCGGTTCATGGTGCCAAGAGCTTGGGTTGCGCCCTTCATGGCCGTCATCATTTGTTCGTTGGTGCGGTATGTCTGTAAGATGAAGTGTCAGCTAAAGTTTACGAGCCCCAGTGACCGGTTGTGTAATACCTGAAGCCGGAGAGAGATCTTTTGCAGTTGACTGCGCATGCCGTAGAACTTCTCAATGTACCTGCAATGACAGTTAGCCGGTTTGTGCGCCGTACACCCATCGGCTTTGTGACTCCTTGCCTTCTTGTCCGGACCAAATCCTTGGCCTGGATCTTGCAGGCGCCCATCTGTCCCTTCTGAGCACTTTGCTTGATCTGGGTAATCAACTGCTTCTCCTGCTTCTCCAACTTGGTTCGGACCTGATCCAATTCTCGAATCGCCTTATCAAGCATGCGCTGATTCTTGCGCAGACGCTCCGCTGGCGTCATTCGCTTGCCGAACGCCCATTCCAGAATCTAGGCCACAGGGTTAGTGGTCGGTCGAGTCGCGGCGGGGAAAGGTGCGCGCAGCATACATTCATCGTGGCGGCTGGGAACAATCGTTTCCGAGCGGATGAAGCGTCGTGTATCGGAATGGCAACAGGAAGGCACTCAAGAGATCGATGGTAGCGATTGTGTAGCTATCGTGGAGAGGAGTTGATAGTGGAGGTTGATTGATATTCGGGTTGCCTGGCACTCGCGTAACAGGCAAGGGTACGTACAACAGCTTGGCACAGCGTCAGGTAACTTCCAAGGAAACCACAGGTGAGTGGTGAGTGCTGCTCAGATCGGTTGCGCTGACCCGCTGAAAGGTCCGACCAGGTTCCAACTTCCCACCTGGGGGGAAATGATTAGATAAGGAATGGAAGCGTGGCAGCCCGGCCTCGGATGGCGGCGGCATTTTCCGACTCGAAGTTTTGAGCCAATGGGCGAAGCGCCGCGACAAAGGGTGGTGGGAAATTTGCCGCTCCGCCCAAAATCATGCGCTGGGAGTTCCATTCATGTACGGAGTACATGACGAGCTTCCCTAAAAAACATTCTCGACTTGCTACGCTAAAACCTCGTCGCCTCCCAAACAAATCCCCTTTCTTCCCGTCCTCTAACCCACCTGATTGTTTCTCGACCATGCTGCTTCAACCCTCGACCGACCGAAAATGAGCCAAGATTATTTTTCAAAGAAGGGCAAGGCCCCCATGGACCAGGAGATTGACAAGGACGACAACGACGCGCCTTACCAACCAGTGCCGTCATCGAGCAGGCCACCGCAATTCATGACCGTTGGATCCGGCTCCACCTCTGCACATGCAGCGCATCTCCAGTCACTACTCGAAAACGATTCTGGCTACGGCGGCAGTATCGCGGACGGCGACGCCATGACTTCCTCCGGCGACCGACATATTCCGACTCCTGTCAATGGCCAGCTCTCCGAAGCTGACCGGCGCAGTCAGGCCGGCGCTATCCACCAGCTGTGGTACAATGCCCACAGGGTGACGCTGGGTCGCTCCATCAACAAGGTCATTGAGCTCCTCAAGGAGTTGCAAGAGATGAACGTGTCCTGGCCAGCCCACTATCCATCTGTCCAGCGAGCCGAGGGAGCCCGCCCTGCCCCTTCACACTCATATTCGACCATCGGCGAAGCCCCCGCGTCAACATCCGCCTCGTCCGTTCCGTCTTCTCCGACCGCTCCCCCATCCTTACGACGATCCTTCACATCGCTAGAAGCGCGCGAGAGTGCCGAGTCGAGCCGTGCACAGGAAAGACGGGCGCCAGAAGAGCCACGACTCGTCACACCTCAAATTGCCCAGGACTTCTCGGTCCTCAAACTGGATCTCAAGCTGGGCTCGCTTCACCAGGCAGAGCTTGTCCACTCTTTGGAGAAGGGGTCCATCGCCTCCCTTTTGGATGGCAAGATCAGTTCCAGCGTTCGACACCTGCTCAACCTCCGTGAACGGATCGAAGATACTTCCAGCAAAGTCTTGATCACTGGTGATCTGAATGCCGGCAAATCGACCTTCTGCAATGCTCTGCTTCGAAGAAAGGTCCTTCCCGAGGATCAACAACCCTGCACGGCAATCTTTTGCGAGGTTCTGGATGCAAGGGAGAATGGAGGCCTCGAGGAGGTGCATGCCGTTCACAAGGACGCCGACTATGACCGCCATAACGAGACCACATACGACGTTTACAAGCTGGCGCAGCTCGAGGAGCTCGTAGTGGACAACGAGAAATACACCCAATGCAAGGTCTACGTCAAGGATGTACGAACCATTGACGAGTCTCTGCTCAACAATGGTGTGGTTGATATCGCTTTGATCGATGCCCCGGGTCTCAACTCTGATACAACCAAAACGACGGCCGTCTTCGCCCGACAGGAGGAGATCGATGTCGTTGTCTTCGTGGTATCAGCTGCCAACCATTTCACTATGACGGCCAAGGAGTTCATCTGGGCAGCAGCTGCTGAGAAGGCTTACTTGTTCATTGTGGTGAACGGTTATGACAATATCAGAGACAAGAATAGGTGTCAGAAGATGATCCTCGACCAGGTCCACGGGCTGAGCCCGAGAACGCACAAGGAATCAAATGAGCTGGTTCACTTCGTCTCGAGTAATGCCGTTCCTACAGCTCCTGCGCCACCAGGCGGGCCGTCTGGTGGGGGCAGCGGCGGAGGCGGTGGTGACGACCCTGGTGACGATCCTAAGGGCAAAGGCAAGGACGTTGAGAAGATCCGAGACTTTGAGAACCTCGAGCAATCGTTGCGGAGATTCGTTCTCGAGAAGCGCGCCAGATCCAAGCTGGCACCGGCAAAGACTTACCTCCTCAATATTTTGAACGACGTTCACGTTCTTGCCAACGTCAACTCAGAGGTTGCAAACTCCGAACTTGATCGTGTCGTCAAGGAGCTCAAGGAGATTGAGCCCCAGCTCGAATCCAGCAGAAAGGCCACGGCGCAGGTTGGCGATGAGATTGACAAGATCACCGAAGGGACATGCAAGGAGGTCTACGACTACACGCGGACCACTCTCAGCACGGCTATCGATCATGCTGGGGACAACAACCACGGCGTTCCTTACCGGGGCATCTTCAATGCTTTCGAGTACGCAGAGGAATTGAAGGAAGCCATGATGTCCTACATCCATGAGTCAGTTGTTGCCTGCGAGGAACACGCAAAGACCAAGACGGTCGGTGGCGTGAACGCCATTAAGCAGCTCGGCATCATGCATCTTGGCGACGACTACCAGAGCCTGGTGTTCCGGCCCGACGTCATGTTCAAGAGAAAGCGCGACTCCATGGCACGTAATGTCGACGTCCCCACTGAACTCTGGGATTTTGTCGACTGGCACACCATCGTCCAGAAGCAGGAGAAGGTGGCAGGCACGGGAATGGCTCTCACCGTTGCGGGAGCTCTCGTTCCTCGCATGATGGGTTCCAGCGGCTGGTTGGACCATGCGTTGAGCGCAGCGAAGATTATGGGCAACGACAACTTGCGTCGCCTCGTTGTCCCCGCCATCGTTGCAGCTTGTAAGTTTTTCGAATCTCGTTCTTTGCTAGTAGCAGATGAAGCTAACGTCAAACCCCCTTTCAGCATTCGCAGCCGCCGCCTACATCCTCAACCAGATCCCCAACTCTCTGCCCCATCGGCTTTCCACCAAGATTGCGGCTCAACTGGAGGCAGTCGACTACGTGCACACCAACTCGACGCGCATCACGGGCTCAGTCCGCAAGGTTCTCCGCTTCCCTGCCGACAACCTCCGCGTCGGCCTCGAGCAGTCCGTCAAGGACCTCGGCAAGCGCCGCGAGGAGACGCTCAAGGTCCGCCAGGAGAGCGAGGTCGCGCTAAAGTACTTTGGCAACCTCGTCCGCAACAGCGCGCAGCAGAGGACCGTCGTCGAGGGCGTCGACCTGGATGCCCCGCCGCCGGGCGCCGTCGGTGCCGGCCTTCATTGAAAAGAAAGAAAGAAAGAAAGAAAAGGACAAGAGCAAGAAAAGAACAATACCCATCTCAATTCCTTGTTTAATGTGGCACAAACTATACCTTACGATAGCATGGAAAAAACGGCGTTTAATTATCCGGTGATTCGAACACTGGGCCTTCCCCCTCGATGTATACCTGAGTTTATATCCCTCCCCCTTTTGCCCTCATGGACTTTTTTTCGTTTCCTTTCACAAAAGTGTGCTGTTGAGAGCACATCACGATAGGCATGTACGTAGACGCAAAGACAACCTAATTCTCGATACACTTATTGAAACCGTGACTACGTTTCTCAGAGACCCGTAGTTGAGTTTCGATGGCGGCATGCTCATCAGATGCGACCATTTACAGTATGGAGGATGGAATTCCAGTCCGAATGGTGTATATCAGCTTCAGCTCGGGCCCCAAATCCGAATATGCATCGACGGGCTGATCGGCGGCGGCGGCGGCGGCGGCGGCGGCGGCGGCAAACCTTTGCGCGGTCCAAGGTCAAATGTCACGGGGGAGAACATGAGGTGTGCTCCGGACGGGACATGCAATCTCCCTACTCCCTCCACTTGCTTACGTAGTGTATGGGCAGTTCAACGCTGCCGAGGCACCGTTTATGCCCGGAGCTGTGAACCGGAGCCAGCTAGCGCCGGGGTGCCGCTGGGCCGTTGGGCTATTGGGCCATATTGGATTCCGTTCTCCTGAGAGAGAGATTCCCTCAATGTTTCCTCACCCCATAATGCGGATAACGTTCTTTCGAAGAAGATCTGAGATTAAATTCTACAGCAGCGGTGGAGCCTGCAGGTATCTGTTACCTAAGGTATCTGTAGCTTCTGGGTGCTGGGATGACGTCTCCGCAGCTATCCGTACCCATGTTGATCCGTTGAAGATTTTAGATGAACGCCTCGATTTACGAGATACTGAGGGGTTCGCCTACGGACACATGAATGAAATCTCGTTCATGTGACGAGGTTCATCCAACTTGCAATGAACCAAGACGGCATGCCGGGAAACTCGAGGACTCGCTCCGCTTTGACCGCGCTGCTTTCAAGTGATGAAATCGGGGGTTTATGCATCACCGGACTTGGATGAGAGGGCGGGGGAATATGCACGCTGCATGTTGCACGCTTGCATTATGTACTTCGTACCTTACCTTCTACTGCACGCTAGGAGCTACAGGCACTTTATTTGAGGTTTGAGAGGTCTGGCCCTTACACTATGTAGAACAGTAGCAAAGTTTCCCGGTGCTGCCGCTGGAGCTGGGACTCTGAGTGTTGAGGTCCGCAATACGGAGTACATTGGCCAGATTTGCGATGTGATGGGACGAGAGAGATCGGAGGTTAATATGAGCTGCATCGTCCGAAACAATGACAAATGCTACTGAGGACGGATAACATGCACTTGCAGAGGAGGACCCCTACCGTTGCCCCTCTTTTTCGCTGAACAACGGAACTTCTAGAAAGATGCATAGCGAACTTAGTAGAGGTGGGAAACGAGTCCGAGAAGAGACGTTTGGTGAGAGACCCACGCGTTCGAACGGCTGGTACGGGACCAGTCTCTGGGTAGTGGGAGGAAACGGCAGCGAGAAATTGGGGTGAGAGATTATTCTCAAGCTTGGGGGGGACGGCTCTCTATGGTGGTGATTCGGCGAACTTTTTTGATTTGACTCTCATTTCCGCACCTGGGCTTCTTTGGCAAGCAGGCCGTTGTGGATTCGACGACGGTCATAGCGCATGGCCGAACCGCCGGTGGAGTTACGGTGTACACTGAGATTGGTTGACTGCTTATCCCATTGCGCCATGCGTGTGCTGAGAAACGTCAAACATTGTGGCTTTCGGAAGAATGATCTTGCTGGCACTGGCGATGGCCATTGTTGATGGTCAGTAATCCGCGCACGTTAGAGTGGTTGAACCAGATGTCGTTGGAGCAAGACTCGGAGAGCCTTTCTGCCACCTCCACTTGGCAGTCCATGGAGTCGGGAATCAGCCAGGGTGGCATCATTCAGTGTTCACGTCAAGCCGTGGGAATTTGGCTCAGAGTTTTGCTAAAGTCAGAAAGCTAGGGTCGATCATGTGGTGGTGGGATACGGAGATCATTCCGACGGGACGAACTCTGCTCATCCCCCCCATGGTGCTATTCTTGAACCTGAGTCGTGGCGGGTGTAAGTGGTCGTTCGTCATTATTGTTCCTTTGGCCGTTGAGGTTGGAGGAATGTGAACGTTGCGTATGTCGAGCCCCAAAATATGACACTAACCACTTGTTTGACTTGAGTGAATGGATGGTTCAAAACAACAGCATCCCCCGGAACCTATTCGTCGCATGTCGTCCAACTTGCGACGCAGACATGTTGAAGCAGTTTCAATATCCTGTGTATATTGAGTTCTCCGATTCGTCGAGAGTCGATCCCGTAGCCAATGTCCAGTCAGCGTGGCGTGCAAGTGCAGCCTACTCAGGTTCCGGGACTCCGGCGGCAGCATTGGACGTTTCATTGCCCTTGCTCCCCCGGACCTGCCACGTTCTGCCCGCCCGCCTAGCTGGTGTCTTTCTTTCTTTCTCTCTCTCTTTTTGTGTCTTGTCACTTCGTGCCTTGACCGGTGTCTTGACCTGACTCTTTCTGACCTTTCTCGGCACGGTTGTCGTGTCCAAAATAGTGTCGAGAGGAACTTACGTGGGCTGACGGCGAATGACAAGATGGCGTCGCTTTGTTCCCCCTTAGCAAGTTTTCCAGTAGCGGCAAAGGGTGGCGTAACATGATGGTGGAGGATTAGGGGGCACTGGAATGGAGTGTTTTGTTTGGTCGTTCAACGGCGAAGAAGAAAGACAAAACGGTTCTCGTTGAATTCTTAGGTAAATCGTGACCGTAGCTTGGAAGCCCCTTCCTTTCAGTTCCACCGCTCTAATTCCTAGTAGGTATCAGTTCGTGGCTAATGAGATGCAGAGAAGGGTATCTGTTGGAGAGGCCAACATCAACAGAGTTTCTTTGGACCAGCGATCAGTCCGAATTAGAAGGCTTGGAAGGGACCGATTTGCTGCAGGACGCAGATGCCCCGTGCTCTGCCTCCGTGCCTTTCCACCGGGATGGATGGTGGTCTGTGTTGTACTACTCAAGCGGCAGTCCCAGCGATTCCAGGGTGCGTTGCAGACGATTGGAAGCAGAGGATTGGCTGAGGGGATTGTCATCATGGTTGTTGGAACTTGGTTGGTGGTCGTCCGTCTCCCTTGGTCTTGTTCTAAAGAATTCCCGTTCTTTTCCCCCTTATTAAGGACGTCTGCTGCGTAAACCATAAGACGACTCCATTCTCGCCCTAAGCCCGCAGACGAGACCCCAAAAGGGAGAAGATCCAGGGGGGGCCCGAGAGCAGCCGGCGCGAGGTGCTTTAGCTTTAAGCTGTATCTGCAGGACCGGGGCGGGTGAGGATAGGTGGTTTAAAGATGGTGGTTGGTTGGAAGTGGTGGGTTCGAGATGAAGTCCAGCGACGATGAGCAGAGGGGAGAAGTCAAAAGTCATCCCTTTGATGCTTAACTAAGCCAATTGGAGTTGGCGAGGAAGGAGACACTTTCTGTTTGGTCCCTTCCAAAATAATCCATTTATGATTTGGTGCCTTCCGTTGTCAAACCCGGTCTTTCAGGCAGGCATGGACCCGTTGCGGATACCTTCCCTTACTGTGTAGACGGTACGTAGTAGACCCCAATGGGCCCTCCCCTGCCAGTCAGAGACACAAAGTTGGGGTTCCCTTCCATTTCGACGAGACTTCCATGACAAGCAAAAGAAGTTCCCGACTGTCGCCTCTTTCTCTCCTATCCGCCCCCCCTTTTCTTCCCGCTCCGTAATACTTTTTCTGCTGTCAACTTATGCGTGTCTTCCAAGCGCAATACTGCGTATCTTCAGCTTGCGACCTTTGCGACTTGGTTACATCTCTACACCTAAACTACTTTTTTCTTCTCTCTTCTTTATCCTTATCTCTCTTCCTGTGCCCACCCTACCTTACCTTACTTTCTTTTGGACCCCTTGTTGTCCTCGACCCTTCAGACCCTTAGCTCTTTAGTCGTACTAGTCCCATCCAATTCTTCATTTACGCCTTTCTTCACGGTACTCTATCCGTACTGCCCTTGCCACGGTCCAGCCGTAATTACACCTTCTCTCCATTCATTTTATCTGGCTGCCTTAGCAGTAGCTGCACGCTCATTTCGAGAGGTACCTTGACCTTTCGTACCTACCTGTCTGTCTCTCAGTCGTTACTTCCATCGCCTACTTTGGTACTGGGTGCGTAGTCAACCCTGTCTGCTGCACTGCGTTCTCATCCCACGCGTCGACCACCACCTCACCTGCAGCAAACTGGTGCAACAATACGACTTCACCCACCCCCCGAGCCGGCAAACGCGACCTGGGCAGATCAGACTATCATTATCCGTACCTATCCAGAACCTCCCTACGCCCAAGACACCCCTCCGTCTCACTCGGCCTCCACCAAGAAGCTCCCCTCGTCGAGGTCCGTGGCTCAAACACGACCTTTTCCCACTTTCTCTTTCCTGTCGCATTTCCCATAGACGACTCAAATCTCCCTCCTCAACCCTCGTCTACCTACACAACAAAGGGCCGGACACACTTTCTTCTGCCTGTGTCTCTTTTGTGCTGCCCCTCTTTCTTCACGACACTTCTTGGTGCCCATGTGCAGCTCGCCCATGCCCCTTGGCCTGTTCTACATGTCGCCGCCTTTGCCGCTGCTGCTGTCGCCGCTGCACTCTTCAGCCTTACCCCTGAAAATCGCAATCGCCATCGGTCTGGCCTGCGCATACTAAGCGACGAAAAACCCCCCTTCCGAACCACTTTTTGGTTATCCGTCTGAATCCACCCGATTTCGCTCTGCGGCCCCCCGGATACCAGCCTCGCCAGCAGCTACCTCCGTACAGTTCCGTACAGCTCCGTACAGCTCCCGGCTCCCCGTCGCAGTCGCAGTAGCAGTCGTAGTCGCAGTCGCCGCGCGCTCGCTCTCCACGCCCGCCGACCACCAGCACTGACGTGGACAACGACGACGAAGACCGCAAACCCTCGTAGCTCGCCAAGTCGACAGGGAGGATGTCGCTCAATGGCCTGGACGACCCCAAGGTCAAGGAGGCCCATGAGGCTGCCGTCGCTGAACCAGGAGGATGGTATGAATCCCTCCCTTTTATCCCCACTGCGAAAGACCGAAACATCTTCTTCTCCGTGCCCGTCACCGCTTGCCAGCTCGAAGTAGCTCGCCGGCTGTACACCGCTTCCCTTATATCTCAATATGCAAATTTCCCTTGTCTCTTTGCTGGCCTTTGAGGCGCTGCTAGATTCACGTAGGCTGACCGACGTCATGAACCATTGCGTAATATAGGTTTCTCCTCAAGTATGCCAGTCGCGATGACGTTGAACTATTGGGTCGCGGGAATGGTGGCATTGTAGAGATCCGGAACAACATCGCTCAATTCGAAAATGACAACGAAGACCACTCGCCCTTATTTGGCTTTCTGAGGTACCGACGCCGGAACGTAATCATCAAATATCTTCCCGAAGATTGTTCTCGACTTGTCCAAGGTGGGTTTGTCTCTAGGCTGTGGCGCACTATTGTGGTCTTTCCCCCATTCCAGAGGGAGATGAAGCTGACTGGGCCTTCTGTCTGTCAATCGTAGCGCGAGTCACTGTCCACTTCAATGCCGTATGCGAGCGGTTTGCGCCGTACAATACCGATTTCTCGATAGCTTCCGCGAAGGAGCTCAAGGACACCAAGCTGTCTGCCGCCTGCTCCTTGCACGCTGCATCTGGATCAACCTCGTCCTCGACCAGCTCTTTGAGACGGAGACGGTTGATGGAGATTGCGGAAGAGGAAGAAGAAGAACAGAGAGCAA